TCCCATCTAGTGAACGCTACAAATAAAACTGCTCGGAATCAGTCGGAACTGCCTGTTTCCGTGGTAGCGAGCCTCTGTCTGGAGCAGCCGTGGGCAAACTACGGCCCGCGGGCTGGATCCGGCCCGTTTGAAATGAATAAAACTAAAAAAAAAAAAAAGACCGTACCCTTTTATGTAATGATGTTTACTTTGAATTTATATTAGTTCACACAAACACTCCATCCATGCTTTTGTTCCGGCCCTCCGGTCCAGTTTAAGAACCCATTGTGGCCCTCGAGTCAAAAAATTTGCCCACCCCTGGTCTGGAGGATAAGTCTGCAGCATCTTCTTGCTGGGCGAGGGGGGGGGGGAGGTCAGCCAGTAGTGTTACAAGGAGTTCTGAGTGTGCAATAGTGACATCCAAAGGGATGGGCTCGGTCAGTTGGAGAGGGAAGCTTTGTCACCAATGGGATTTGTATCCTTGGCCAGACAGCAGTATCCAAGAAAAAGAAATAAAAGACACACAGCATCCACATGCCTAAATATTTATTCCGGTTGTTTGTATTTCCCACACTTTTCCAATGTGAATGTGTGTCCTGAAGGTGGAGCTTTAGTTCACAGGAAGATTGGGAAGGGGCAACCCTGCCTGCACAAAATAGGGCAGAATCAGCAAAGAATACCTTTACATGCCTCCTAGTCCCCTACATTTTTCACGCCCAAAAGTAGGCACAGATTCGGATTTCTTTCCTGGTAGGAGCCTGCATACAACTAAATGGGAGGGAAAAGAAGCTCGCGCTCAAGAATGGGGCTTATGGTCCCAGTAGAATGGGGAGAATCTAGCCATCAAAGCCATTTGTACTTCTAGATGGTAGTATTTTTAAGATGTTTCTGTTTCAAAATGAGGCAGCAATGAATTGAGTAGTGATCAAAACGCCACACTATAGAGTATGTTTAATCCCAATAGCTCTCAAGATGGTCTGCTACTGATTGTAGCAGCTCTACAGGACTTAGAGAAATTACTTGGTTACCAGTGAAGTAAACCCATCTCCGCAATGGAATTGTGTTCCTGCTCAGCACATAACAGCACTGCCACAGCCGGTTATGGCGGCAGTGAGATCAGTGTGCTCTTCATCACTCACAGGGAAATTTCAAAACACTAGCACACAAATCCCCTGCTAGGCCATGACGGGTTCTATGAGCTTCTGCAGATGTTTCTTAGATACTACTTTTTCCATTTCCAGCAGAGCAAACATTCTTAAAGCATGTCAGGTGGGCAGGGAATGGGGCACACGGCCTGATTACTTTGGAGCAGAGAGAGCGCATCTGATCTGTCTTGCTTACGATCAGATTAACATGAAGCCTGTATCTCAGGCCTTTTCTCTTCCTCCTCCGCCCTCCTCAGGGCACCCCAACCACCATCCCCACAGCAGAAACCTTGTATCTCATGGGAAAGCATTTGCTGCCCACTGACAGGCAAAGATAATGTTATCCAACTTCAAAGAAGGAAATTATGAATGGAAAGATGACCCCTCTGAATTCAGAATGTGAGCGTCGCTGATGGAATGATTTGATCCATTAATGGCACATTTGGGGCAGAAACTCACGTTTCTTTTCTGCTTCTTGCTTTAGTTCACCCTTCTTTCCTTACACCTTCCCGAACTCCTTCTCCTGCCTTATCCCTCAGCGCTGGGGAGAACTCGGAGCACTGTTGTAGAAGTTTGAACCTGGATCAGCTGCTCCTTCAGGAGGGCTCAGCATCTGTAGGAACTCCACTTACTCAAACCGCCCCCCCCAAAAAAAAAAAACCCTCTCCACATAGATTCTATTTAGAGTTGAGAACTGGGAGAAGACAGAGGGTAGACCCTGTCCCCTCCCTGGGGCTTGGAAACAGCCTGGGAAGGGACAGAGATCATTTCCCACAGATGCCTGGGAACCCCAGGAGCCCTTGGTGACCCCCTGGATCACCTGCCAGACTGTAAGGGTGCCGGTGGTGCTATCAGCTGCAGCTGGGGCAGCTGGGAGGCATTTGTGTGTCCTCTAGGATGCCCCCTGCTGAGAAATCTTGAACCTTCACCCAGAGGAGGTAGTCATTCAGGTGTGCAGTGATGCAGAAATACAGGGTGGGGCAAAAGTAGGTTTGCAGTTGTGAGAGCAGGAAGCATAGTTGATTCTTGTATTATTAGTAATTAATTACTGTAAACCTACTTTTACCCCACCCTGTATACTGTGCTTCAGAAATTCTTGGTGGTTTTGTGGACAACCAGCTGCTACTTGCCCCCTAAGGCAGCGGTTCTCAACCTGGACCCCTTTGGCGGTTGAACGACCCTTTCACAGGGGTCGCCTAAGACCATCCTGCATATCAGATATTTACATTATGATTCATAACAGTAGCAACATTACAGTTATGAAGTAGCAACGAAAATAATTTTATGGTTGGGTCACAACATGAGGAACTGTATTTAAAGGGCCAGAAGGTTGAGAACCACTGCCCTAAGGGAATTGGTGAGACCTTAGAGGGTCTAAAGTAAAGAACTGGGAAGGGATGAGAGAGAGAGAGGGCAGGCCTCTAAGGAAATAAAGGTACCTGTTCTAGGATTAGAAGGCTGGGGAGGGGAGGGGAGGTTACAGCATTTAACTTGGGGAACTGTTTGGTCACACCTGTGGAGAATGCTTTCTGGGTATTATTGTAATGGCCACAGGTGGCACTTGGCTAGAGCAGGAGGTGTAAGTGGCCCTAGAGCTGGATACAGGTTAGAATCTCAACTCTGCTGTTTACCAGCAGGACCCCCCCAGCTCCCCCCGCGCGCAAGTTCCCTAAGCTCTGCTGAGAATAATACTCATTAATTAATAGGGTTGTTATGGGTATTAAATGAGTCTTCTGTAGTGAATTTAGAACAGCACCGGGTACGTAGTAAGTGTTCAATAAATGCTAGGTATGATCAGTAAGGTCAGAGGGTGAGTAGAACTTGAAGGGCTAGGTTTGAGAGCCTGGGACTCCGTTGCCAAGGGAGATTTGAGACCCTTTTCAAATATGGGAGCTCCAGCGCCAGGGATTGTCCAGGATCAGAGCTTTGGCGCCTGCCTTCCCCCACCTCACTCTTCTGACCAGGGAAATCCACCCTCCTTGATAGGGGAGCCCTGGTCCCCCGAGCCTCGGGCTCGTCCCCGTCTCCCGCGCGCCTCCTCAGGTCCCCGCCGCGCTCCACACCTGTCAACCGTCCTTGCAGCCTCCCTGTGGCCCAGCCCCCGGCCTCAGAGACAACCCTCTGGTGCTGAGGTCGTCAGCTCCCAGTGTCTGGAGTCTTCCTCTACCCCAGCCCTACCCCACTGCTCTGGTAAACAAAACCCTAGTGTTGGAGCAGCCCCACGGGCTCGGATGTGTGCGGGAGCTCGCTGGGTGCACAGTTAGCACGCCCGGGAGCCCTGGGCCAGCCAAGCGGCAATGGTGGCGGCAGCAGCAGGTGGCTCAGCTTTGTTTTGAATAGATGAAAGAGGCCACCTACACAGTAACCCAAATTATCAGATCTCCCTCCTCCCTATCTCACCAAATCAAGAAGGGAGGGGCGATGGGCATGGAGGGAGGGCGGGTGAAGGGTAGAGGGGTAAGAGGATGAGGAAGGGGGCCAGTTGCATCCCACTTTCA